GGTTGCTAGGCAACGGATGACGTCATAATGGTTGCTAGGGATGACGTCACATCCGGTTTAAGGATGCGCATGCGTGACTTCCGTTGCTAGGGAGATGACGTCATTGGGGAAACCCCTACGGGAATCCCGATGACGTCATGGGAAATCCCAAGGGGGAAATCCCAAGGGGAAATCCAAAGGGGAAATCCCAAGGGTAAAACCTCAAGGGGAAATCCCAAAGGGAAATCTCAAGGGGTAAAACCCAAGGAAAAGGGAACTCTTTTATTTTGATTAGGTAGCCCTGAAAAGGGCTGTTTTTTTAACTCACTCCTTTTAGAAGAGCCTTCGACGAACTCTGTGACGGAACCTCTGACGGACGCTGGCTAACAGCTCTGGAGTGATTCTCCGTCTTCGAGGTGTCTCGTTCACCGCCGACTCTTCCAAAAGGTAGATGTCATCCGGAGTGATGATGAGTTTTACCATTGCGGGTAAATACTTTGACAGGACTGTCATCCACTTCCACAAGTTGCACAACAACGGATGACGTCATAATGGTTGCTAGGGATGACGTCACTCTGTGACGGAACCTCTGACGGACGCTGGCTAACAGCTCTGGAGTGATTCTCCGTCTTCGAGGTGTCTCGTTCACCGCCGACTCTTCCAAAAGGTAGATGTCATCCGGAGTGATGATGACAGTTTTACCATTGCGGGTAAATACTTTGACAGGACTGTCATCCACTTCCACAAGTTGCACAACAACGGATGACGTCATAATGGTTGCTAGGGATGACGTCACATCCGGTTTAAGGATGCGCATGTAAATACTTTGACAGGACTGTCATCCACTTCCACAAGTTGCACAACAATCATAGGTTGGGCTGCCATGGTGCAAATGAATGGCCAAAGACAAATGGCTGCGATTTTATAGGCTGTCAACCGGAAAGAGATTTGGATTGGATAAAAAAGATCACGTGGTATTTTTTTAAACTTTATTCAACTATAATCAATCAACAATGAACAATAATAACATAATAAACTAAAGAATTGAACTATAACAATAACTATAACGTATTTACATCCATAAATCTTCGACAAGTTTGGCCATCCTCAAATCTTAAACAGGGAAAATGGTCATAGGTCCAAGCATGTACTAAACGATCATTTTCAGTCAGATTCGATTTAAACACCGACAAGGCTTTTGATGTGGGTACGTGGAATCTATGACACAGGTAAAATAGGCAATAATGACCACACACAAGTTGTGTCGTACTGGTCCTTGACGTTGAGCAAAGTCGGCAAAATCTTTTCCATATAGTTCTGGGGGACATCCATACGAATCAAAGAAATCACAATGGTTTTCTTCTGAGGGACGTTTGTTGTGGTTGTCTTCAGTGGAATGATTGTTGAGGTTATCTTCAGCGGCATGTCTGTGGAGGTTATCTTCAGAGGTGGAACCTTTGTTAACTTGAGTTTCTTCTGAGTTTTCTCCTTGGTTGTCGATGATTTTCTTTTGAGGACATTCGGATTTCCAGTGTCCTTCTTGTTTACATTGATAACATTTTCCTTTTCTGGGTTGTTTGCGTTTTGGTTCTTGACAGTTACTGGCCCAATGTCCTCGCTGTTGACAGTTGTAACAGATGTCTTGACTGGTGTCTTGACTGATGTCTTTACTGGTGTCTTTGTTTTCTTCTTGGTTAGTTTTTTCTCCATTTCGCA